CCCCTCCCTCATCCCTTCCCACACCCTCTCCATACTCTCCTCCTCCAACCCATCTCTCCTCCGCTCCTTCCTCTCCGTCTTATCACCCGTCCCATCCGCCATCATGGCACTTACTCTATCCCTTTTCCTATCCTTATTGTCCAACAGTGTAGAATTAGTTTTAAGCCCTTTACCATCCAACTCCCCCTTAACCTCCCACCCTTTACGCACAGGTCCATGAATCGTCGCAGGGGAGATGAGCGTAGAATCTAGCAGGGCGTTCCATCTCGAGAGATACATACCGGGGCCATGTGTCGTCCCTCCTCCGCTTGGTTTACTCTGGGAAGACGACGACGAAGGCCGCATGATACTTTCCAACCTCGTCTGACTAGTAGATTTCAGCGTCTGGAGATGGCTCTCATGCTGATCCAACAAGCCCTTCAACTCTTCTTGTTTCTCCTTCCCCAGCGTCTCAAACAACGAGTGTAGCGGCGCCGTCATATTTCCTGCGCCGCCCTCACCCTTCTCCTCTTGCTTCGCAGCGGCGTCATCAACGCGGAATTCAGAAAATATGCGCTTAGCGTAAACGAGATAATCCTGCGCGAGTTGGGGAGCATTCTTGGTGACGTGGTGCAAGAATTTGTGCATCGAGGGTGCATGTTTCTTTAGTAATGTAACAAAGTCCTCGACAGTGGGTGCATCGCTCGCTCCTTCATCCAAGATACTCGCCGGGTCGGCCGACGGAGAACTGGGTCTCGACTTACTCGTCTCGCGGCTCTTGGTACCCTTCTTTTTCGGCTTGGCCGTCTTGATGAGATCGGTGATGAAGGCTTCGGCGTCGGTGACGGTACCGCTGAGGTCGACGGCGTTGTGGATGTCGCGGATAACGGGGTCCATGGCTGCGACGGCGTCTCGGATGGTCGAGGTGAGGACGTCTGGATTGGATTTGCACAGGACTTTTGTGAGTTCTTCGCGGTCGCGGATGGAGAGGTAGGTGCTGAGGTACTCCATGGCGACGCTGTGTTGGTGTTCGTTGAGCGTGTCGGCGTCGACCTTGTAAGGCGGGTCCGAGGTTTCGAGGATGACGGCTGCGATGGATTTTTGCTCAGAGACGGACTGGCTGCGGACTGCTTCGTGCTTGTCGCGCGAGGCGTAGACGTACGTCTTGATTGCCTTGAAGACCTTCTTGTCGGGGGCGTTGCGTGAGGATTCGAGCTTGGTTGCTCGCTTCTGGAACTCGGTTGTGTCCCATGCCAGGATGGTGGATATGATTTGCTGCAAGAGGTTCATGCCGTCGTTGGTGTTGTTGGTCAGGCCGATCCAGTTGGTCATGGCTGTGACGGAGAGCTTGGCCAGGACGAGTCTGACCATGCCGTTGATCATGGTGGCTGCGTTGCCTACGCGCAATGTCTGTCTGATGACGGTGTATGGGATGAGGCGGTGCAGGTTCTCGACGAGGCGGACGAGGTATTGGCCGTCGGGCGACATGACGAAGACGTGGTGGAGGAAGGATGCGGCGTTCAACAGCATATACTCGTGGGCTGCCTGCAGACTGCTGGAATGGTCCTCGAGCCGCGGCGTCGCCTTGACCTTTTCGTACAGGTCGTCGAGAGCATTTCCGTATATGGCGTCCTTGACCAGCTCCTCGAAGCCTTGTATGACGTCTTCGGGCTTGCTCGTGTCGTATTCCTTCTTACTCTCCTTCTTCTTGGCCGCTGGATACCCGCCCAGCATGCCTCTGGCGACATACTCGGCAATGCTACTCGCCGCCGTCGCCAGCGCTTTGCGGCTCCCAATGGCGCCCTTGTCGTAACTCTCGCTCAGTTCGGCCTCGGCCATCCTTGCAACCAGCGTCTGGATCTTGTCGGACCACCAGCTCTCGCCAAAGTTGCGTATGGCGGGATTGCAGAGGGCGAACTTGTTGAGCATGTTCTGGAGCAGCGGGCTCGTCGACTGCACGCCGTCGGCCTTGCGGAAGGGGTAGCCATAGTGGTCGATGGTCGAGGGGTACTTGAAGGCTTCGATTTCGGCGTAGACTTGGTGGTGGATCAGTATGTCAAAGAGGGCGTGTGTCTGCGCGGGAGTAAGCGGTTTCGTCGTCGACATGGTTGGCGAGGGCGAAGATAATCAAGTTCAAGTCTCGAGTCCATGGTTGGCCGTGGTTGATGGTGGACGCGGCGGATGCGCCTGCGACGCGGGGTACGTCATCGCGCCCGAGCCTTGGCAGATTAGCGACTTGATCGCCCCCACATGGCACCGCTGCATTCGGATCACAGCATGCGTCGTGCAGAAATCACTCTTGGTTGAAAGCTTTACTTCAATACTCCTACTCACTTCCCCTTTGGCACATCGCTGCCCCAAGGATAAGCCTCGGGCATAGCCTTCCAATTCTTCAAGTCATCATAGTTCCTCGTCGTGCTCTTGCCCTGCAGCACCTGTTGTACAAAAGGCAGAATGTCTGCGTACCCGCTCATATCACAATGTCCACCAGACGGTATACTCATGCCCAGCTGCTTACCCACACCCAGCCAGCTGTACACAACCTTGGCCGCAGGAAACGTGACTTGAGCAGTGCCTTTGGAGTCGGTGAACTGATCGTTGGCGTTCTGCGACAGGATGACTGCGCGTGGAGCGATGGCTGCGACGATAGTATGCGCGTCATAGGGTAGCTGGGTAGACTTGCCGACGAACTGGGAGATGCCCGAGGAGGTCCACCATCCAGCCCCAGATTTCTTGCGGATTTGTCAGTACGCCAGTTTCTTAACAGTCGCTGCGAGTTCATGGAGGCGAGTACTCACGGCGTTTTCCAAATTCTCTCCTTGTCCGCTCAAGCTGTAGCGGTACGGTCCTGCGCCTTGAACGCCAGAGCACATGGGCATAGTAACAGCGATACGCTTATCAAACAGGCCAGCTGCCAAAGCAGCCTTGCCCAGACGGGAACAGCCTGTGACTCCAGACTTGGTCGCGTCAATCTCTGGAACCTTGAGTTCGATGCCGTCCAAGACGCGGTGGAAGCCCCATGCCCACGCAGTCAAAACCCCTATGAGAGCTGTAAGCATGCAGTAGAAGAGAGCAAACACATCACACACCAATATCCTTGCCGTTGTACAACGTCCAAAACGAACCACTCTTGCTGTTGCTGTCTGCTGCAACCTTGGTGTAATCGAATGTCACCACTGCAATACCTGCATTCGTATAACTCTTCGTATCCATGCCTCCAATCGATATGACCACAGGATATGGTCCGCTTCCGCTTGGCAAGTTCAACGACGCGGCAATGCTAGCCGTCTTTCCGCCTGTAGCGATGCTAACAGTCAAGGTATTGCCGCTGCGCGTTGCTGAGACCGTCTCTTGCGAGTGGTCTGGATAGTAGCCATATTGGTATTCCTGAAGGAGCTTGAGGATCTCGGGTTGACGGCATTGCAACCACTCGTCTTTGCTCTGAACGCGAGTTTTACCATCGAGGTAGAGGAAGGGATCAGGCATGGTCTTAACGGAAGGGAAGGCGGCTGCTTTGGGCATGGGGTTTGGCGTAGTTGGACATGTTATGTTTGTCTGGCGGGGATGGATGTCTATGAGGTTCTCGACGTTGTTTTCTAGAGGTTTACCGCTAACTGTGATTGACAGAGTCAAGATAGTAAAGAAAAGGGTGCGCATTTCGTTGTCTGGCGTCGTGATGAGACTACAAAATACTGGTGATAAAACGATGGGACGATGGTCATTGTAAGTTTGAGAGAGACTAAAGGCTGAGTCTTTCGGACCAAAGGCCACAAGTTGAGTCGATACGAGTTGACGTGATCTCGTGATCTAAACCACCCGCAAATAATGTAGGTAACAATCCTTTGTATATGAAGTCTGGTGTTCGAATCATCTGACCTTTTGCTAAGAAGGACCACTGCCGCGCTACAACGGCACTTTGTAGCAGTCGAGTTATACCAATCTGTCCGATCATCTCTCTTCTTGATGTCAAAAGACCATGCAGCTCCACGCTGTTTGTGGGGCTCCCATATAGCCATGCCTTCGGATAAAGGGATCTCCAATATATAGCTGCGATGCACATGGGGCTGTACGCGCGAGATACACCGAAAGAACATATGCTCGGGACAATTTCTTGCGGATAAATGCAAGCATCTTAGCGAGCAGTCGATGAGACGTGACCAACCTGGACTTTCTAGTTACCTTGTACGCATCGACTAATGGACGAAACGAGAGAGCTGCTGGGGCGAATGACTTTTCTTTGATGATTCTACAAATGATGACATCTATGCTGCATCCTCGCTATCTTCCCGATCATACACGAAAACTCCACAGTACCGAGGTAGACCATCATTGTTAACATACGGCCGCACTTCGAAGCTGCGCAGATATTCAGGTGACGGCTGGGGCGGGTTGTCAGGAATCGGAAGGCTGAGATCAGGAGCATCTGTATACAGATCACTGCCTGAAGACATGCGTAGAGGTTCGTAGCCAGTTTCCACGGAAGCGGCGGTTGCACCACTACCTCGTGTGCAAAGAGGCTTCATTTCACCTAGACGTGCTAGTTCGACAAGTGCTGCAAAGGAGAACGTAATGTCCCATGTTTCTGCGTCTCGGTCGTAGCTTACCGAGTCGCCCCATGCTATATCCTGTGATTTGTAATGTAGGATCTGGGAGTCTATTACGATATTACATTCGTTGTAATACAGTATAAACCCGTCGTCTATATCGTGCACGCGATAGCAGATTCCCCGCGAGATTTTCACAATGATTTCACCCGGAAATGACAGGCAGAGTATGTCCATATCTATTCGAGCTGCCATAGGATCCTGGTACTCCACGAAGTCCAAGGGTAGTGACAAGGAGTGTGTCGCGAATAGCTGCTTTTCTATCACTGCTGTATTCGCTTCTGCTAGGTTTAGCACCCCTTCGAGCAGGCGGACGGCGCAGAGGCAGAAGGAGCTGCTGCATGCTTGCAAGACTCTTTTGGCCAGGTCGTGACGCGAGATACCGTAGTCAACCTCAAGGTCTGAACCCTCGCCGCACAAGCCCAATAAGGAAAAGATGCGATCGAAGCGATTCTGACACTTCTTTTTAGAGAAGAGTTCCAGAAGGTAAATGAGACTCCTGCCCCTCCATTGGTGCGAGTTATTTTCGGGGGACGCCGCAATGTTTTGAGCGGACTCCGGTTTGTTCATCCAAAACCCTAGGACGTCTTCTGGCGGCTGCCAACGGTCGATCTGTTCTCTGCCTGCCATGAAGGTAACGCGGCGCGCCAGACTGACTTCTTGGGTAATCCAAGCGCGTCTCCAATAGTCACTTTCCAGAAAACGCCATTCAAAGGAACCCCATTTACTCCGGTCTTCTTCGATGAAATAAAGCCTGTTTAATTTGAGGGGAGGGAAGCTCAAGCTAAGGTAATGTGCGATTACTTGGTCGTCACCAAACCAGGAGATGACTTTGATTGCATTACTGAATATGTTCGCCATCTGCTGGACTTGATGTGACCGTTCAGAATTGTTTGACTGATCGATACACAGCGCATCAATCCATAGCCATTCACTGCAAATATGCGGCTTCTTACTTGCTGATGCCAGAAAGGCATGCAAGTTCTGACGGACCTGGAAGAGTCGTCCGCCTAGTCTGACCCAGCGGGGGTTTTCTTCTCCACCCCATACGTATGAAAGACAGACATAGGTGCTCTGAGTTGAGACATGACGAATTTCCAGTTGAATATGTCCTTCGGAAGACGGCTCTGGGAGGATACGCACTAGTCGGATGGAAGGCGTCTTGAGATCCAGAGGCAAATGCTCGAAAAGTGACTGAGCACTCTGTGGTGGGCACTTTTCTTGCTTAAGAGTGTCTTCGTCATCTTCCGGCTCACGAAGATGACTCATGATGCTTGGTAGGTTGCAGCCTGGAGCTTGATGGTCGGGTTCGTTCAGGTTGCCGTACCTCCAGATCTATGGTAGATCTTTTTCGGCCGCTATCTTCGCCTTGCGATGTCGGTTGAGTCGTGCTGGCACTGTCGGTACGTGGGGCGAATGTTTTGCGGCAATGAAAAGTGTCTGGAGGATGAAGTGATCAGATAGCAGTGCTTGAGGTTACGAGGCTATGCTGCTGAGCTGAATGTGCGGGGCAGTGCAAGGCTGACACAAAAGCCACACGAAGCCTCTTCGCCTCGCGCAAATGCGTTAAATTTCGCATTCAACGCATGCATCATAGTTGAGATATCGCTGGGTCTATGTCGGAGGCTGTTGCTAGGAGTAGTCCAAGGATGGTTCTGTTGCACCACTACAGGCGGTAGAAAAGCTCAATTACACACAAACCATTTCAAAGTGGTTGAAGCTTAGGTTGCTATGCGCGATGCGATCACAGGAAGGATGAGTTTGGGGCAAGTCTTGTCCGCGTGTTGAATTGGTGTCGGTACTGGTAGCGCGTCGACGCGTACGCTGCTCACAACATCGATGTGAGCTAGAATACAAAGAGCGTCCACGAATCAGAAGGGCGATGACAATGCGAAGGTTGCGACAGATGCAGGTATCGTGCTAGAGTGTAAGAAGTTAGGAAGATGCACGACAATGATGTCAACCCAGCCCAAGCTCTTATCCGCGCGGGGAGTGCGTCGAGCAGCTAGGCATCCACATATGGATGTAGACTTCACCATGTAGAATCTCCAGGCTTCAAACACCAACATGGTGCTGCTGGCTTCTCTTCTGTTTGCTGCTTTCGCCGGTGCCAAATGCTTCGAACCTGACATTGCGCATCCGCCGCCTGAGTACAATGTCCACGATCCTCTGCTCAAGGAAGCATTCGAATCCATCAACACAGCACTTACGGCAGCTGTGGCAGCGCCCATACATGCTCGAAGCTCGTTTTCTGTAGAGGTAACCTCATCGGAGGAAACTCTATGGTCGTATCATCACACGGCGTTCGAACGCAATGCCTCTCGCCCAGATATACCCAAAGTCAACGGCGACGCGTTGTATCGTATCGCTAGCATAACGAAGACCTTCACCGTCCTGGGCATATTGTACCAGCACGCAGCTGGCAACTTGAGTTTAGATGAAACTGTGAACACGTATCTCAAAGAACTGGGAGAAAAGTCGGATGGTGGCATACCATGGAAGGACATCACCTTGCGTAGTTTGGCCAGCCAGCTGAGCGGCCTTCCGCGGGAATGTAAGCTGCCAGTTGACAAGGAACACAATCTGTTTGATGGGTGCCAGATAGGAGAAGGTACGCATGCTGATTCCTTCCGCTAGGGGCTCAAGGCGACTTGATCAATCAAAACTACGAAAAGCTGAATCCGAGTTACTTGGGCCTACCGCCTGATGTCTCACGGAAAGGGTTGCCACATTGTGACGAGTACTCACCAAATTTCGAGACGCCTTGCACGGCCAGAGGTTCGCGTCTGACTGTCTGATTGTCGAGATCAAATACTGACTGGAGAATGCCTAGATTTGTTTAAGCAGGTCAACAAGCTCGCGCCGCTTTTCGCGCCCAACCAGAAATCTTCCTACTCTAATCTCGCGTTCGAGCTGCTCGGTCTCGTGCTCTCGCGGGTATCGAATCGTACCTACGAAGCTTACATCGATGAAGCCATATTCAAGCCTCTGAACATGTCGACCAGCACCCTTTCGAAACCCGCCGACTCTGCTGGCGTCATTCCGGCAGGCCCACAGTTCTGGGACGTGCAAGAGGGTGTTCAGAATCCCACGGGCGGCATCTATAGTTCCTCGAGTGACCTGTCCAAGTACCTCCGCTATGTCTTGACTCATTTCAATGCCATTACCCACGCGATCAATTGGCTGCACCCCGTCTCCCATTCCCACGGATCCAATAGTTTTTACGGTATGCCATGGGAGATCTTCACAACAGACCGCGTACTAAAAGACTCCAATCGCACAATACGCGTCGTATCCAAGAGCGGAGGATTACCGGGCTACACTTCCATCATCATGACAGTGCCAGAATACGACCTAGGGATCACCATTCTGATCGCCGGCCCTGCCAAGATCTTTGCCAAGATCCAAAGTATTGTTTTGACGACCATGATACAAGTCGCCGAGAAGATTGCCATCCGGCAGTTGGGTGATCGCTACGCCGGCACATATAGCGCGGCAGATCCAGAACTGAATTCTACGGTGATATTGACAGCCGACCACCGCGGTCTTGTTGTCACAACCTGGATATCGAATGGAACAGATGTCTTCAAATCGCCCATTGTCAAAGATGGCGCGCCGGAGCACTACTACGCACAACTCAGCCCTACACTCCTCTACCGCGACGAGGAGACACAGCGAGGCGAAGAGTGGCGTGCGATGTTCGTCGAGGAGCGTGAAGGTGGGCCGCCGGATGATTTCTGCATCGATGATTGGGACATGTCCTCTTATGCGGGTATACCCTTGAATGCAGTCGCGTTCTGGGATGAGCAAGAAGACGGTCACTTCGGGAAGCTGGAATTGTCGGCCTTCAGGGTGAATCTTACAAGAGCAGACTGGAAGGGGGGAAAGAATAGGGAGTATGATCAACAAGAGGCGATGGAGCTCTGATGCCTGACACTACAGACTCGCATGGCGGCCTGATTGTAATCGCGTGTAGTACACGATTCATGACTGAACGATCCTATGCAAGTCACTGCAGCTAGAACCAGGTGACTAGATTATATAGAGTTCAATGTTCCCCTAGAGCACTGTGCAAAGACAGGTTCGCGAAGGCTCGCGTATCCTTCTATCAACGGCGCTTGCATTTGCCGTGACCCAAAAGAGTCGGTTCTATTGCAGCGACTATGGTCGGCAGGCTGCACTAGTGTTTCTGGACGTGATTAAAGTCTGTGCTAAGGCGGAGCTAAACTCTAATCTTAGTATGCAGGGAAAGACCCACGTTTTGCGCAAACACGATTGCCATCATCAAGCCACAAGATACCGTTCTTCACCGGGTTCATATACCTCCGGTCATGTTCGGTCTTGCTGCAGGTCGAGGATCTCTCCGCTAGCTAAGCCACTGAGTTGAAGCCGTCACATGTAGTGAATGCGAGTCCCGTGGCGACGTGAGAAATGCCAGAGGGATCGTCACGTCTAATCAACGGATCAGGTTCGCATTGAATTCAATCCCTCGCGATGCCTAACACGGCCATGGCCATGACTATTGTGAATATGTGTGTTTTCACACATACCGATCCCGAGAATCCTACTTGGTGCACGTCACCTCCAAACGACCTTTCCCGCATTCGACTGTACCGACTACCTCGTCTTCAAGGTATGTGAATCTACACGATACATGCAACGTATCAAGCCATAGGAAGAGGCAAAAGTCGGAGAGTTTGTCCCTCGTTGGGCGCAAGCTCCACGTGGATTTTGCCGTAGCAGCGGCACACGTCTGCGAACTAAAGTCAGGGCACAGTCTAGCTCGTAGACTGCCGATTGCGCCCGAACAATGCCAACAGTGCGTAGCACGCCTCATGGAGTCTGCTCCGTGACCAAGTTGGCAGCTCCACTGCTATGAGCTTGTAACATACTAACGGCGCCTTGATTTGCGCGCGGAGACTAGGAGTTTTGACAGTGCTGTGCTGCTGATTGCCGCGGATAGTAGCATTCAGCCCCCCTGTTTATAACAGATCCTGGTCCATATGGGATTATGAAGGGCCCATGTTCACATGCGAACTGCTTTCGCTTATCGTGTTTCCTTGCTCCTCCTTCCTCTTTCGCATCCGAGGTAGACTGTACTGCCTCTTCTTGGAAAGCGCCTTGTCTTAATACGGTCGACTGGAAAACGGTACGCGAAGTACGGCGCCTTCTCATGCGGTTTTCGATATGAAGTTCTTCTCGGCACTGTTGTTCCTCGTCTTTGCGCCACTGCTGTCGTTTGCGCAAAGTCAGAATGGAACAGACGTCCTCGCCCTTGCAGTCAAGAACCTGCCTCCATGCGCGGTATGCCAACCGAGTCAACATACTGGAATTCAAAACTGATAAGATGTAGCTAAAATGTACATTGACAATCGTCACGGCGTCACCATGCGAGCTCACAGACTTCGCTTGTATCAAAGCCAATGAGACGCTTCTAGATGACCTCACCAAATGCGTGTTAGCTGACTGTAAGCCCAAAGAAGCACTGAGTAAGTTCTTCCTCATTTTCCTGTTTCCAGATATTCGCTAATCGAACAACTAGCGGCAAAGAGGTTTCTCGCAGACATGATGAACACGCCAATTCGTAACAAGACGATACAAGGAACGATTACCACGTTGGTCGCTGGAATAGCAGCCTTGGTGGCCTACATTCTACGCGTTGTTGCACGTCTTCCCTGGTTTGGGGGAAATTGGGGGTTGGACGATTGGGTGATGACTGTCGCTATCATACTCGTCGTCCCACTTTCCATATGCGCATACATTCTGAACCAAATCGGCTTGGGACAGGATATGTGGTATGTGTCTTTTGACAACATTACAAAGATCCTCGAGGTATGTTATTGAAGTATCCGAATACTGAAATTTGGAGCTGACGAAAGTGCAATCTAGATCTTTTACTACACTGAACTGCTATACCTGGTGTCGGTGGCGTTGACGAAGATAGCTATCCTCCTCTTCTACCTCCGCATATTTCCTCATCAGAGCCTTCGACGCTGGATCTATGTCACAATAGTCATTTGTATCATGTACATCATCGCTTTCGGCACAGCGACCGCGCTGCAATGTCTCCCCATCCGCATCGCCTGGGAACACTGGGACGGCGAGCACCACGGAAAATGTATCAACCTCAACGCCGACGCCTGGGCATCGGCTGCAGTCAACATCATCCTCGATCTGATCGTCATTACTATACCCATGCGGGAACTCAGCCAGCTCAAAATGAGCCGCCGTCGTAAATTCGGCATCATGCTCATGTTCCTTGGCGGAGGCTTGTATGTCCAATACCCTCCGTACGTCACCTTGAGCGTGTGCTAACAAATACTTAGTGTAACCATTGTCAGCATCGTCCGACTAAAATTCATGATTCAGTTTGCCCAAACGACCAATGTTACCTGGGACTACCTACCAATCGGATACTGGTCTGCGGTTGAAGCTCAAGTCGGTGCCATCATCGCTTGCCTACCCGCTATCCGCCAACTGGAACGCTCGATCCGCGAACGCATCTGGCCGAAGCAGAAGACGAACAACTACTATTACCAAGAGAACTCTGGGATCAGCAGCAAAAGGTCTAAGCAAAGCAATGGCAGCAATGGCAGCAACATCAAATCCCGCATCTGGCTACCGAAAACCGATCGCTCTCAACTGAGCACGTTTAGGACGAGTCGAGCCGACAAGGAAGACTTTGTCCGGCTAGACGAGTATGAGATGGGCGTCACCAAGGGAGCGAAGGAAGGTATTGTAGAGACTGGGAATGGTATTCCAACACGAAGTTCGTCGGACGGATCGCTGGATCGGTCGTTCAAGTCGAATGAGGATATCCAACCGCTGGCGGCTGGGCCGGCGCCCGTTGTAGGGTCGCCGTTGGGGGGTATCATGGTGCAGAGCGAGTATAGTGTCGACCGGGGCAGTCCGCATCCTTCGGAGATACAAGCCTTGCCGCCGTATCATCCCAAAGGGGAAAAAACGATGGACACGCGGAGGTGGCTTTGATTAAAATGCGAGTTTTGATGATCTACGAAATACGGAATACCCAATATTACTTTACTTTTAATGGATGGAATAGCACCATGGTTTTTGAGATACGTGGTAGCACTTGTGAGATGCTCTTACTTCTTGTACTTTGGATGCTTCTTGTTTGACAGCTTCTCTTCGGCGCAAAGATTATAAAGATTTTACAAGTTATAACTAGCTCATCAATTGCATGTCATCGGAATACCAGCATATTGCTCCGCGACTGCGCGCACACAGCAACTGAACGCGACGCTTCCACCATTTGCGCATCCTACAAAACACTTCTTAGCAAGCGATTACTCTAGATACGAGACGCAACACTCAGTAACCCCTCGCGAAATGTAGATCAGAACCGCTCCGCGGTGCAGAAGCCAAGGGGCCAAGAAAGTGGCGACAACAAGCCATCCGACACCCGCGCACCGGCGTGTTCTCGCCCACTTGCCGCACTACTATCCAGAAATGTTGGCCGCGGTAGATAATGAATCGCATTACTACTACACCAGTGTAGAGAGTTGAGGTGAAGTGGGTCGGCCCACTTCGGCTCGGTAGATCATACTCCACAGCGTGTGCCTGGTGGCCTGTTTGGGGAATTTCTGCGGTGCGTATGGAGGAGAGCTATGACTTTTCAGCATTAAACATATTTTTTTAATTGTACATACTAGTACGAATTTGGTAAGAATTTGGCCGTTATTATTTGTTACATGTCGTTCTATTGCATAGGCAAGGATGATGACGATTCAATCTCCCACAGTACCATTGATACTGTTATCCACGCATACGACACAGGCTTTACTTTGCTATCTCCTCTCTATCCGACACAAACTATCATTTCGCTATCCATACTCTCACAATCTTCAGATCTCTTTCTGCTTGCTGCTTAAATCTGACAAAACGTCACATGAGATGGAACAACCAACTCCACGTTCTTCTTTACAGAGTATACCGTGACTCACTTTCTTCCATCAAGTAGTCCCGCTCCGCCCGATTAACTTCAGCTCATATTCATCGTTCATCTGCTCATGCCTGTCCCAGAAATAGAAGATAAACAGAACGATGGCACTGACAGGCACTGCTACCACAAAGAACAGCCACACATTACGACTTGCTTCATCGAAAGGAACGTTTCCGGCGATGCCATTGAAGAAGTTCATGCCAAAGAATGAGGATACAAAGGTGGCGGGAAGGAATGCGATGGTAACCCAGGCTATGCCGCGCATAGTGCGACTGTCGCGTTTAGTTTCCTTAGCAATTCTGATACTCTCTTCGAGGAAGATCATCTCCATTCTTGCACGAGCGTCTTCTCCGTTTTGGCGTTCCTCTTCTCGCTTCTCACGAAGCTCATCCTTGGTTTGTTTTTCTTCAGCAGTAACGTCGATAATCTGCTGACGTACTTCCGCAATCATCTCTCTCAAGAGATCCGGATGGTACTGCTGCATTTTTCGAGCTGATATGAGCACATCATAATCCGGATGTTCGTTTCCGGATGGCCTCAAAGCATCTTTTGTCCACTTCGCAGCATCGGCACTGAACGCGAACTGTGCCTCCAGACTCGAAGTTCTAAGTTGGTAACTAATAGCGTTGATTTGCCGAAGCAAGTCGCTCAGTCTCTCCGGCCGGTTTGGTCTCAATAAGTCTTTAACTCGACGGATCTCTGTCATCAGGGCTTCAGCTCCAGTTGTAACACTCGCAATATATTGCATTACAATGTTGCGAACGAACAGAGCAAAGACATCGAAAGAGTCTGTCGCGATTGTGCTTGTTCCAGAACTGCTTCTGAGGCAGTGGGAGTCGAACCTCTTGAGTCTCTGCCGTTTCCTCTCATTTTCATGGACGGATACTCCTTGCCGTTCCCACTCATGTTGATGGATGAATATGCCCTGCCATTCCCACTCATCTTCATGGGCGAATAAGCCATGCCACCTTCTTTGTTTCGTGGTGTGTTTGAAGCTTCTCAGAAAGAGGTATAGGCAAGGGCTAGAGTGTTCGGGTGTTACCAGCAGTAAAGTGTCTTTGCGTTGCGAACACAGCAGGCGACCTGTGGTTGAGGTCTTGTTTTCCTCGAATGGAAACGCTTGATAGCGGTTCAATGTGTGTAACAAGTCAAGTGGTGATATACCATCTCGCAATTCCTTTGCCAATGGCAGGTCAGTGACCTCGAAAGTGGTGGCAGACTCTATTGAGCCATCAACGAGGATCTCGAAACTTAGCATACCCGATAAAAACATCATAAGATCATATATTTTATCAAACGTCCAATCCTCCACATTGGTTCGAATAAAACGCCTCTCTCTTGTGCTGTAGGAAAATTCATATGAACGAGAGGATTCGGTTGAGAAAACATTGGAAGAAAGAAGCTGAACTTCATCAACGTAAAGAGGAGACACTTCCATAGTTGCTAAGGAACAGGAAAACAGAAGATAAAAGAGAAGAACAGATTAAAGGCACAAGGCTGGGGATTCTATTGTATATAGATTTGAGTTCAGCTGCCAAGGATGAGGCGCACATGCAAGCCTCGAGGCTTGCATGATAGTAGCTTTGGAGGCCGTGATAGGACCAAACAGTGCATTCGAAAACGCCTCCGACATGGTTGATTTGGCCAGACGAAAGTGAGCTTCGAAATCTAAATCCTGTTGTTTGCGTAGTATTATCACTTGCAGCGGTCGTTGTTAAGCTCTTGCGAACAGTTCACAGCATCCTTACAACTTCGCCCCAGCCTTGTTGTTCCTCACAGCAGCAACCAAAAACTGCCCAAAATACCTCAACAATTTCTCCCCCGCACTCTCACCTAGTTCCACAATCGTACCCACCCACCCATCGGGTCGCAACACCACCACAGCCCCCTTCTCAGCTGCAACACCGTACCTCAAATGCGCACTACAATCTTCATCATAAAACACACGACCAAAAGGCAAACCACCCAATGTCTCATACGCTGACGGCCCACCTGGTCCTGCGATGATAGAAAAGCATGATACAGGAGCGTCTGAATCACTCAGCCAAGAGAGCTTCTCGATCGCTGCCGTAAACGATCCCAAAGCAATTTTCGTGCGCGCGACCTCCCCAGCGAAAAGCACAACATAGAACGTGGCCGTATTCGGTGTCTCGGTTTGCAGTCGCGTAAATTCGAACGTGGCAGGTTTCCGCAACTTAACATCTGGTGCGCGCTGACCAGGCTGCACCGACGACACACCCGAACTCTGCATAAGGTTCAAGTAAGAATCCGGTTCATAGTAGATACCCAACCCACTACTAAATGTCGCCGCTTCCGCCATGACTACACCCAGTATCTCATTCGGATCCGCGTCCGGATCGCCCGTCCAACCCTTTGGCAGCTGCATTGTCATGAGGCGCGAAATTTCCTTGTCATAATTAATCAACCGCTGTACATTAGGCAGCCGTTCCGCTTCGTACGAATGCAAGAGGTCCGGTTTAGCAAGACCCCGGAGGACGAGGGAGAGTTTCCAGCCTAGGTTTACAGCATCGTGCATGCCGGTGTTCATGCCTTGCGCTGCGCCCGAACTGTGCGTATGGCATGCGTCACCAGCGAGGAAGATAGAGTCGTCTACGAAGAAGGAACGGGCGATGCGCTGCCCGACGACGTAGATAGTCCACCAGTCTACTTGTTTAAATGAAAGGTTGAATGGCTTAACAGATGCAATGGCTTCTTTCACAGCGGCAGCTTCGTCGAAGACTTTATACGCTTTCTGGCGCTCGGCTGTGAATGCGAAGCCGATGCGCGTTGCGCCTCGGTCTAGCGCGGCCCAGAGGACATTTCCGTGGGTAGGTGATTCGATGGCGCAGTAGGTTCGTGGCTTGGGGAGGTCGGTTTCGATGACGCCGTCAACGCGAACCCATTTGTCTTCGCTCGAGGAGCCGTCAAAGGGGATGTTCATAGCTCGCCGTACAAATGATCGACCGCCGTCTGCGCCGACAAGATATCGACACTTGACCACGCTCTTAGCCTTGGTCGAGCCATGTTTGATGGTAGCCAGCACCCTGTGGCCGCCCATCTCAACCCCTTGTATCACCTCAACACCCACTAATGTATACGGCGCATCGAGTTGGACGCCCTCTCTCGTCAACGCTTTCCTAAACACCTCTTCCTGGTATTTCTGCCGTAGCACCAGTGCAAAGTCCCACTTTGTGTCCTTCATGTTCTGCATGAACGCCCAGCCTCTTCCTTCGACCTCGTTGCCATATTTGTCGTAGTTGACTGTCTCGCGGCACGCAAAACACTGTTGCGCAAGTGAATCAGCAAGACCAAGCTGGTCAAGCATCTACAGACGTGAAGATATAAAGTCAGTGTATGTCTCATATGCATTTCGCATAGTCATAACTTGCCTCGGAGCTGCGGGGGAAGAGGGTGATGGCGCGACCATAGTTGTCTTGGGAGGATTTTGGGTATTGCTCGATGATTTTGATGCGGTGGGTAGGTTGGGGGAGGTTACGTGCGAGTTGGTAGGCGGTTATGAGGCCTGTGAGTAGTTGTTAGTACGATGGTGTGTACACGATGGGTGCTGGGGCTACACGTACCCACCGGTCCTCCACCTACCACGAGTACATCTACATACTCTACTGGCGGCTGAAGAGTCGCCATATTCTCTATACGACGGCGGAGCCTAGTTCTGGCATATGACAAGCTTCCTCAAGCTCAAGCATGGCCCTGTTGACGCGCAATAAGCTTTATGGGGTTTCCGTCCACATAGGAGACGGCAAAGGACCTCCGCTCCATTGATAAGAGTACAGCCATATACTATTAGTCATGCATGACCTCATTTGACTCGATGGAGATGGCCGCATCGGAGGTGCTGTCGCGAAGGAAGCAAGAATGGGGTGGGATGCGACCTTCGCGGGTGAACTGATAAGATAAGGATTGAGCCGCGGCACCTGCGCGTCAAGCACCAGCCTCTACCAAGAGACGTTTCTCGTCCGCCATGTCCAGCGTCCGACTCTTGACGCGGAGTAGTCATATCGTCTAACTTTCGGTTAGCACTCGTCTCAGCATGGCTCAAGGTATGGAGTAGACACGCCAGCATGTCCACACACCGTATACCGGCACGATTAAAGCTATCGTAAAGTACGTACAGGTTAGTTATTAGTGTTGTACGTACAGCAGCACTGGAAAAAAAGCTCCAAGTACAAATATCAACTGTAGGAAAGCCGCTTAGACTACGTACAGACTATACTTACTTAATATAGACTAACAGGGGCTCTCCTACGTACGGCTTAGGTATAACGTACCACTGTACTGTACCTCTCCGTACTACCATGATCAGACACGCTGAATCACGCCACAAGCATTAAGCAATACCCAAGTGAGGAATGTCCCCTCCATGGTGTGCGCAACATCTTAAGCACACCTACAGCGGCAACACCCACTCGCCCTCCTTCGTAGGTTTAGCAAGACTGCTCGCATCTCTCTTCGTGAACCTCCCATACCCCTTCTGGCCCAACAACCCCCCATTGCCCCTATCCCAAACCACCTTTCCCCTCAAGATCGTCCACCTGGGCCACTGCCTCAGCCTCCTCCCCTCAAAAGGCGTATAATCAACATCATGGTGCAACATGCTATTCGTCAGCTCAAACTCCTCCATCTTACCCTCTGGATACCAGATATTAACATCGGCATCGGACTGTCCCTCCACCAACGCGCCTTTCTTCGGATACAAGCCGTACAGCTTGGCAGGATTGGCAGAAGTGACCTCGACGAATTTGGTAAGTTTGAGGCGGTTCGCGCTGAGGGCAAGGGAGAGTCTTGTTTCGATGCCTGGACAGCCGTTGGGTATGTACTTGAAGTGGCCGAGCGGGTGTTCAGCGCTGATGCTGGATTTCTTGCCTGTTTGAGCATCATCGTAGCGGAAGGGACAGTGGTCCGAGGAGAGGATCGTAAAAGTGCCGTTTGCAAGTCCTTCCCAGATTACGTCGCAGTCTGCCTCGCTCTCCCGTGGTGGGGGCGAGCAGACGCACTTTGCGCCTTCGAAACCGGGTTGGTCGAGGTCTTGCTTCGTGAGGAAGAGGTATTGTGGGCACGTTTCTGCGTAGATGGGTAGGCCGCGGTCTTGTGCTGCTTTGATGTGGGCAGCTGCTGCGGGCGTGGAGACGTGGACAATAAGGATGGGTGTGTCCATGAATTCTGATAAGCTGATGGCACGGTAGGTGGCTTCTGTTTCCGCCATGGGAGGGTGGGAGGATCCATGGTATTTCGGTGCAAATAACTTCTTCTTTTCCAGCTGGGCAGTCATCCAGTCGATTACTTGACCGTTTTCGGCGTGGATCATTGTTGTTATGCCTTGTTTTCGCGCCTCGAGGAGGATGTCTAGGATCTGACCATCATGCAGCTGCAGGGCCTCGTAGGTCATGTAGATCTTGAGTGAAGAAATGCCTTCTTCACGAAGAGTCTTAAACTCCGACAGTGCCCTTTCTGAGGGGTTTCCCACGATGATATGGAAGGAATAATCAATGTAGCAGTTATCCTTTGCTCGTTCATGGGTAGCCGCCAGGGTATCAAGAAGAGTATCCTCAGTCTTCTTTTGTGGCGCAAACGTTACCATTGTGGTGGTACCACCGCATACTGCTGATCGACTACCCGTCTCGTAGTTGTCTGCCGTTGAGCCATTGCCAAACAACGGAGGTTCCTGCAGATGAACATGAGCGTCTACACCTCCTGGCATAACAAAGCCGCCTTCAGCATCTATCGTCCTCGTCGCTTTTGCATCTTTCAGGCCTCCTCTTGGAACCACTTTCGATATCTTTTCATCTTTGATACCAATATCCCACTCTTGAACTTCGATTTCGGAAACTACGATTCCATTGACGATGATGAGGTCGTACTCCATGGCTACCTCTTTGTAGCCTTATTTCAAATGGTCTAATCTCGGGAAACAGACACTCAAGTCACTTGCTGATACTAGAGGATACATTTCAGTGGTTATCGTGCTTGTAGAAGGTAGGCTAGTCCAAATTTGTGAGGTGCGTATCTCGACCCCTCTTTCGCGCTGCCCCACCTTCCTTCCATCGTCTTCACCCGTCCCTTATCAACTATGACGCCTATCCGCGGTACAAACGCGCTTAAGAAGGGTACGGTGTTCTGTACAGTAATACTCGTTAGTCATACGTGATGGAGACGCGTTTCTAGAAGCCGACGCGTCGGAACAACCGTACCTGATGACTTCACGCCACTACGGGCAACCCGCAACACCAGCCTACAACATACCATAACTTTTAAACAAGCCAACATGACTGTCAGAAGCCCGAAAATAAACGGCGACAGGCTGAACAGCACATTGCAAGAAACATGCACGGCATATGGCGCCCTCGCAGCTCCATCAACAGGCATGTGCCGCCTGACTTTAACCCCGTCGGACAAAGCTGCGCGAGACTGGTTGGTCAGTGAATGCAAGAGTTTGGGATGCGAGGTCAAAATCGACCAAATGGGAAACATCTTCGCAATACGCCCAGGTACCGCTAAAGACAAAGCACCAATCGGCATGGGTAGTCACATGGATACCCAACCTGCAGGTGGACGGTAAACTCACCCTTTCCCCTCTTCCAACCCAGATTGGACTGATGTCAAGGTAGATACGATGGCATACTAGGCGTTCAGTCCGCCCTAGAAGTCCTCCGCACACTCGACGAGAACAACATTCAAACCCATTGTCCCTTTGCGCTGATAAACTGGACAAACGAAGAAGGCGCACGTTTCCCTGGCGCGATGATGGCTTCAGGTGTCTGGAGCACACATAGCAGCACGGATTTAGAAGCCTGTCATGCCCTCCACGATACTAGCGGTATATCCATGGAAACAGCTTTACGCGACACCGGATACTTGGGCCCCATTGCTTGCGATTACCGCGAGAATAGACTGTCCGCTCATTTCGAACTCCACATCGAGCAGGGCCCTATTCTAGAGAAGGAAGGGAAGGGTGTAGGTGTCGTGACGAGCGTACAGGGCATGAAATGGTATGCCATTAGAGTGACAGGGCGAGAAGGCCATTCGGGTACGACACCCATGCCAGGGAGGGCAGATGCCTTGGTCACAGCTTCACGGCTTATAACAGCTGTACGTGACACTGCACTCGGCAGCCGACTGGGCGTTGCTACCGTGGGTGTTATCAGCAGTGATACGAGTTCTCAAGCCACTATACCCGCTGGGGTGGGGTTCGTGATAGATGTTAGATGCGATACTGATGCCCTCGTTACCCAACTGTCCGACAAAATCTTACAGGCTTTCGATCAAGTCGTTGCGGAAGAAGATAATGGGACCAAGTACCGTGTGGAACGCACGTGGGGCTTACCAGAGTCAAAGTTCCATCCGGACTGTATCGAGGCGGTGAGGAAGGCAGCAGTGGGGCAAGTTGGTGAAGAGCAGGTCATGGAGATGAAGAGCAGGGCGGGACATGACAGCGCATGGACGAGTAGGGTCTGTCCAACGAGTATGATCTTCGTACCGAGTCGAGAGGGAATAAGTCATAACCCAGAAGAATATACGAGTCCAGAGCATTGCGCACTGGGGGCGCAGGTCTTGCTTGATGCGGCGCTGGAGTATGATGACATGATTAAGAGTGGGGACGTTGGAGTTTAAATCACTCAGATGGGTAGGAGAATTATGCTGATATGCTCGTGAAGTTGGAAAATGAAGGAGCTGCTGGGGACACTGCTGGTGGTGCCTGTGATGAGAGAGAGAGGGCCTGGATTGATTCTTCCACTACTGGGTATCAACCGATAAGGCAGATCTGGGTCTTCTTGAGGGCATAATTCGTCATACTACTTCAGAGACCAATATATGAAACAGGGCCCAGAAGCACACAACGCACAGATCATCGCCAGAGATTTTTCTTGTTACGAACACTCGTCACACTGGGTCGAGGTTACAGAAGAGACAAAGATTGGTAAATCGCGTTTTCCGCTGTCGTGGTTGTGATATACAAAAAGAGTTTATACAAGGGTTAACTCCATCCAGCCTATCCTGTAAGCCTGATACATGCGGGTATATATATGAGATTCCAAAAAAGAAAAAACTCTCCAACACCAAACACGCTCTTTTTTCTCCAAATGAGAGAACAATCGAAGCAGAGGTAAACATTGTACAGAAGATTCATCAAAAGGCATAAGCCGAGCTTTCCCTCCATCTATCCCCTCAGGCTACCTTTCCTGTACTTGTCGTCCTTCAGAGGCACCGGAGGTCGTTCGTCGGCGTAGTCTTGAGACGGCATGGCGGAGTCTTTTCGCGCATGTCTTGGGTCGTAGACCGCGCTCGAAAGTATCGGCTCTGGCTTGTAGGTCGCGCTGGCCAGGGTGGCCTCTGGGTTGTAGGTAGCGCTGGATAGCGTCGGTTCTGGGGTATATGTTGCGCTGGATAGTATCGGCTCAGGGGTTGGTTGGGGCGAGTATGTGGTTGCGGGCAGCGGACTATATGTAGCCGCAGGTAATGTATACATGAATTCGTCAATTGCGTCGTCGATGTCGTCGAGAAGGTTTTGTTGGTCCGATTGCGACGTCTCCGATGTCGATTTGCGATCAAAGGGGTGCTTCGGGTCAAAGGGGAAAGTGAATGAGATAGGTCGCTCTTCGGGTGTATAAGAGATCCTGGGTGCGTGC